TGCAGCGGTGAAGCGGGGCCCCAGCGATTCCCTCCCAGCCCGTCTTGTGCACACGGGGCACAGGGGCCTCCCTGGGTTTGGGGCCCCGCTCTGTGCACTGCAGGGCCCCCCGGGTACCCTGAATACTCTTAGACATTCACATTATTGCTTTTTAACATTTTGGGTCACTTGGGGGCGTCGGGGCCCCCTCGCAGCGCCGCCAGAGCTCTCAGCGGCTTGGGGGCCCCTGGCCGCCAGCTCAGCCGCAGCAGCTGCTGCGCAGCGGGCGCTGCCGATCCCCACACGATCCCAGGACGATCCCAACACGATCCCAGTGCTGCCCCGACGCGCTCTCGGGCCGAGACAGGGGACACTGGGGGCCCCCTTGCTACTGCTGCCCTGGGAGCGCTCCTGCTGCTGCTGCAGTCGGTGCTAGCCGCCCGTGGGAAGCCTTTGGGGGCCCCCCTTTGTCTAGGAGGGGCCCCTGGGTGATGTGGGATGACGAGCAGCAGCAGAAGCTGCGCCACATCAGCAGCAGCAGCAGCAGCAGCGCAGCAGCAGCAGCAGCAGCACAACTGCAGGCGGATGGATCCGCACGGGGGCCCCGACACAGCTTGCTTCCACTTGTTAAATAATTTGCGGGGCCCCCCGGGGCCTCTTGGCAGTTAAGGAGCCTCTGCTGTTGTTTGCTGCTGCAGCTTCCCACGATGCGCTCAGGGAGCGGCGCTGCTGCTGCTGCTGCTGCTGCTGCTGCTGCTTGGGCTTCGGGTGCAATTGCGCCGGAGCAGCAGCAGCGGCAGCTGCGGCAGCAGCAGCAGCAGGCGCAGCAGCAGCCCTCTGCGCGGCAGGGAACTGGCGGCTCGGACCTGAGTATACCTGAGATTGACTGCAGCGCCTCAGGGGATCTGCAGCAGCAGCAGCAGCAGCAGCAGCAGCAGCAGCAACCCACTCCTCGGTCAGCTCTGTGGTTTCAGATAGCTTCTGTTCTTTACGAGGAGGCCCGCCAGCTGCAGCAGCAGGAACAGCGGCAGCACCAGGAGAAGCAGCATGACATTGTTGGGCAGCGGAAGCAGCAGCAGCAGCAGCAGCAGCAGCAGCAGCAGCAGAATCGCCTTTTCAAGACAGCCCGAGACCTCCACCGCAGATTGCTGACACAAGGGGGGGCCCCCCGCACTATTTGGGGGGCCCCCCGCTCTCTGGATAGTGTGGGGCCCCTGTTTCCTTCCGATGCGCTCACGTACCCTTACAGCAGCAGCAGCAGCAGCAGCAGCAGCAGCAGCAGCAGTTTTGGGGACGCGGAGAGGGATTTTGCGCCGATTCGAGGGTTTCTGCTGCAGCTGCTGGTGCTGCTGCAGGGGGCCCCCCAGGGGGCCCCCCACTCGCTGTCTTTGCAGCAGCTGCAGCAGCTGTGCATGCCAGTGGTGAGGGCCCCCCGCTGGCTGCTGCTGAAGCAGCTGAAGCAGCGGAGGCCGCAGCTGCTGCAGCTCGAGGAGGCTGCAGCAGAGAGCAGCAGCAGCAGCAGCAGCAGCAGCGGCAGCGGCAAGTGCGCGTTGGGGGGAGGGTGCGCGCGGTGCTGCTGCTGCTGCAGCAGCAGCAGCAGCAGCAGCTTGGCGGGCAGCGACGGGGCCAGCGGGGAAGCCTCGCTGGTGGCCCTTTGTGCTGCTGCAGTGGGGGGCCCCAGCAGCAGAGGGGGCCCCCCAAGTGCCCCTCGGAATTTGCTGCTGACTTTGCGGGACAAGCGGCGGAAGCTGGAGTGTACGTACACCTCGCGGGGCAGCGCGTCTGCTGCAGCAGCAGCAGCAGCGCGAGCAGCAAGCTGGGGCCTGGACTCCGCCTCCGTGGGCCTGCAGCCTGCGCCCGCGGCGCCCGCAGCAGCAGCAGCAGCAGCAGCAGCAGCAGCAGCAGCAGCAGCGGAGGCGCCCAGCGGCTGCTGCGGCGCTGCAGCGCCTGCTGCAGCCTGGGCTGCTGCTGCTGCGCGCTTCCAAAGAGCCACTAACGTGTGGGGCCATCAGCAAATGCCCGAAGAAGAAGTTCAACTCATTAATGGCAATCCCCACCAGCAGCACATCGTCAGAGACCCAGCCCCCGTCTACGTGGCCAGGTTCACCCACGCAGGTCCGCCACCCATGCATGCATGCATGCATGCATGCATGCATGCATGCATGCATGCAAGTGCATGCATGCATGCATGCAAGTGCATGCATGCATGCATGCAAGTGCATGCACTTGCAAGCACTTGCGAGCACTTGCAGGCACTTGCATGCACTTGCAGGCGCTTGAATGCGCTTGCATGCACTTGCATGCACTTGCATGCACTTGCATGCACTTGCATGCACTTGCATGCACTTGCATGCCTTCGCATGCCTCTGCATGCAAGTGCATGCAAGTGCATGCAAGTGCGTGGAGGCACGCCTGCATGCAGGTCTGCATGCGCTTGCATGCATGCTTGCGTGGAGGCCTTCATGCACTTGCATGCATGCGCTTGCCCATCCGCATGCATGCACGCATGCATGCATGCATG